CAATAAATTATACTAGATTCTCATTCTCCTTTATATTTTCATAAATTTCCAAATTCACTTTGAACATTGGTTTTATCTATTTCAATGCAAATACTTATTTTGCATATTCTGCCTTATATACCTTTCCTTCACTTCCTTAACCTATAATCTCCAATGTTTTGTACTTTCCAATCTTTAATTACTTATTGAACCCATATCGAATATCCATAATGTAAATTATAAAATAATTTAATAAAATTGCAAATAAATAAATTAGTTTAATTCAAATATTCAATCTTTAATAGAATCTTATAATTAATTGATTATATATTAATAATCAATTATATATCATCTAAAATTGAAATAATATTAATATGATATGAAATCTAAGCTTTATAATTATTTTATGTATAAATATTCATTTATTTTATAATAAATAAATTTTATTAACAATAAATTTATGTTTCAAAACTTTTATTATTAATTTTTCATATGAATTTCAACCCTTATCCTATATTGATTGTAATAGATATAATATTCAATTAAACTAACTTTAATCAATTAAAATATAATTTAAATAAACTTAATTATGATGTTTCATTTAGTTTATAAGCCAAAGATTAATTCTTAAAAACATTAATATTAATATCAAATGAATATGTCTAATCAGCTTATTGGTGGATTTCAAAAAGAAACACCATTTAAAATCTCAAATACAAAATCTGGAGTATTAGAGAAAATTTTATATTCCATTGGCAAAAACCCAATTGTACAAAGAAGAGCTACAGATTAAAATAGAATGACCATTGAAGGGGCTTTTATAAGTCGTAATACTTACTAATGATTAATAAATATATATTAAAACAATTGAAATGGACTCCAAAATGCTTAACATTTTTTTCATAGTATTACTGATCGAATTTATTATAATATTTGAATGTATATATTATAATCAATTATAAATAAGATCTTCTTCATCTTGTAACATGACATTCTTTTTTATGCATGCTCTATAAAGAGTAAGACCGATAGCAAATAATATTGCCCAACCCCATGCAAATAATACATATTGCCAATCAAATCCATAAAAGACTCCTACTTATAATATTTACAAGAACCTGGTTCTTAATATAAAATTTTTTCAGAATCACAAGAGTCTTCACAAGTATTACAACCACAAGGCTTTTTGATTTCAAATTTATATGGGTCATAAAATTTTCCATCATCAGCCTTTTCAAAAGTTTGATTACAATTATCTATGTTAGGCATAACTAAAGAATTTTATTCAGAAAACTCTATAGCAATTAATTAAAGAGATGAAGAACTAATTAATTACATCATATCATACACTCCTTATTCAGCTTAAAAAGTAAAGAATCCACCAGGGGTTGACATGGCACTAACTTAAGAAGCAAAGTTTGTTCGTTTACAAGAAGAAAAAACATCCTTATGATGACTATTTTAATTACACATGCCACTTAAGGATGTATACGTAAAGTTACAGTTTATACATCAATGGTTCTATTAGGATTTCTTGGATCAGTGACATTGGCTCTGCCAGTGATTTTAAGAAATTCTCCCTATCTTGGATCACATGAATATGCACACCAAAATCTTTTCATATTTGCTGCACAACTATTGTTATTTTAGTTATTTACATATCACATCCATCACCATCACTTCCAAATGTGGCATCTAATGAGAGAAAATCACTCCCAATTCCTTCATCTTATGATTAAGTACAACAAACAGGAGTTTTCTCATAGAATTGACATGAACTTAATTTATCAATAATCCAGGGCTCTTTATCTGTTTCTATGGGTACTTTATTATCATCTAAAGTGTATCCACAAGGTGTTCCATTAATGAACTATATTAATGCTATAATCCATAACATATTTATTTTATATTAAAATAAATTTCAATCATTCATCAAATCTATTATTATTATCTCACCTATATCAATTCATGGTATGATCTTATTATATCTTATTATGTAAGAAAATCAAAGAAAACAATATTTATTAATTTTTAATAGAAATAAAAAATATTACTTAGAAGTTTACATAGTAAAATAAGCATTATAAAAAATGATCTCTACAATTTAAATAGAAATTTATTGATATTTAGAATAAAATATAATTAATCCAAAAGGATTATTATGTGTGTATTTTTATATAAAGGAATAAAATAGAGAATAGAATATTCTAATTTAGCATAACGTAAATATGTGCAAAATTGATTATTTTCTGATTGAATAAGATAGAAGATTCAATTTGAATGAATTATTTTGTTGAATTTACATCATTAATAAAATATATTGAAAACTTGACTGTTAATTAAATTTAATGTAAAATAACTCACCAATTAAAGGTCGACGTATTTCAAACCAGATTAAGTTGACAGGCAAAGTTCTAAAAAAGAAGACAGCATCAGAAGTGGAGATCTTAGGTCCTTCTGGAAGAGATTTGGATACTAGTGTGGTTGCGAAAATTTAATTAATGTAGTACGAGAACCTGAAATCACATATGCAACAGTGCCAAAGTGAACTTAAAGTTGCAAAGAGCACAGAAAAGATTAAAAAAAAAAAGTCTCTTGATCGTACTGCTGCCATTAAAAAGAGTCAGCAGTTGTATAAGAAAAAAAAAAAATCCACAAAAATAAAAAAAAGTGTTAGTGCAGAAAGAGTTAAAAGTTAAACTTTAGAGTTCTCATCTCCAGAATGTATACGTCGTAAAAAAGCAGCCACTTTTTTTAATGAAAAACCAAATACTCTGCAAGATCATCGTGAACAATTAGGACTTAGTTTCTTAAATAAAATAGGGACTAAGAGAATTGATTAAATTTTAGAGCGTATTTAAATGATTCTATAGCGTTAGGTAATAGGATGTCATCAATAGAACATTCACATCATCCTCCTCTTACTCCTGAAAAACATCGCATTCCTCATTAAATAAAACATTATATAAAAGAGAAAAAGAAGTTTTATTCATAATTAGAATCAATAAAATAATAATCAATGTTAGAAAAGAAAAAACACATTGATGAAAATCTACGTTCATTGGCTGAAATAGCTAAAAGAAATTCTCTATCAAATAGTAGATCACCACCTAGAGATAGTACAAATAAAATTAGTGCAAAACCACTTATGTTAAGTTATGTAGCTAATCGTAAAAGTACTTCTCGTAAATCAGGAGTTCCAAAATCTTTAAAAGAGTAATTTAAATAATTGGAAGCTCGATATAAAACTTTAAAGAGTAATAGTGATGTTATATCATTGAGAGAATCTAGAAATTATGAACATGAAATGAAAGAATAAGCAGCAAAATGTATATAAAGATGGTTTAAAGGATATAAAGTAAGAAAATTTTGGTAGAAAAAGAAATAGAAAAAGTTATTGAAAATATAATAATTGTAATAATTAAAAGATACAGAAATGGCAAGATGGGATAATTTAAAATAATTCCTTTAAAATCTATAAGTTAAATAAGATATTGTTGTGATTTCAGATTTAATTGAAAGCTTAATTAAATATGCAGATTTCAATAAAGAAAATGTACTTTCAAATAATATTGAATAACCTTAAATCAAATTAAAACCATAAAAGTTGATTATTGAAAAAACTGAAGTGTTTCCTCCATAAATTGGTCAAATTCTTTAGCTTAGAGGAGAATTAATTAAAGAGAGAGAAAAAAAAGAAAAATAAATCTTAAAAGATCTTCTTGTTTAAGAAAGGATCTCTCCTCGCTCTTTTGGTTTGAAAGAATAAGAAATAGTAAAGTGGGGAGAAAAAGAATTCTAAGCATTAGAAAGTAGTAAATAAGCAATTAAAGATGGATGGTTTAAAGCATATGAAACAATATAAAAAACTTAAAAGGATTTAAGATTTGTTTAGAAATTAGGAGATGATCATTTTAGTAAGATGATGCCTGTAAGTGTTAGTCAAAGTAATCTACTGAAAAATTAACTTCATGATTTGAAAATTAATGTAATTATTATGAGTGATTTATAGTTATTAAGGGCTAGCTATTCTGAAGAAAGTCTCATTGATTAAAAAAAGAAGCCTCTTTAAAATTCAGAGTAATTAGATATTTAGGAACAACAATTAGTATCATACAATTCAAATTAATCAAATAAGACTCTATCATCATATATCCAAGGTCTAGAAGTAATATATTACCTAAGTAAGGGATGTTCCATTAGATATGGAAGAATAGGGACAAGTTGAGAATTTGCAGTATGTGTAGACTCATGTTGGCTATGTTAAATAATATTTAGAAGACATCAAAATAATTGTTAAAAATCACTATTAGAATTAATTCTTACAAATTATCAATTTAAGTATTGGTCCATCTCCATTTGAAATATTAAGATTCTTTAGGTTGACAGAAGAAATGTTAGAGTAATCTTTAGATGGTGGATTTATTCATTAAGCAGTTTTAAGTTTGGAGATATTTTCAATGAAGGAGAAGGTTGGAGCAGAAGATGTTTGTGTTAATGAAATGGAAAGAATACATAATAAGGCTATTTTTGATGCTTTTAATGAGGCATTAGATTATCATAGACCTTTTGGAATAAAGGGAAGACCATTACCTTGGAGAAAGAATGTAATATGTAGGTAAGTGAATTTGGTTGAAGAAGCTCTTGAGAAATCTTCAATAAGAGTAGTGTAATGGGCTGAAACTTTAAGTGGCATACTATTACCATAAGGTAGTTAAATGGATAATGATATTTTGCCATAGGTTAGAGAAGAACGATTAGATAAGATGTTGAAGTAGGAAGTAAATTAATTATTTAATATTAATAGATATTCGAAACAGATGATAGATGGTAGGAATTTGATGAAGAACATACTGAAGTAGCATTGGAGTTGAGTGAATTAATATTCAATCATCTCATTACTGAAGTAATTACTGAATTAAGAATTTGATATATTATTTTATATTTAAATTATATCTCATTTAAATTTGATAAATAATAAATTAAAAGCATATATATAAGAATTAATTAAATATTATTCATCAATAAGGATAATTACTATTTTTATTATTTTCAGTAATCATAAATAATTTAGGTGTTACAAAAGTACCTTAACTGACAGGAAGTTTAAAGTTTTTTCTCACAGTATCCTATTTTAAAATAGCTCTTTATTGAGGTTTTAAACTTGCTAATCTTATATTTCTGATAGTATCATCAGCTAAAAGAGTAGTTGAATGTTCTTTTTTTAGTATTCTTTTCATTCCTGAAGATTTTTCACTTTTTAATCTAACAATTTCTGTTCTTTATTCTAAGATTTTAGTTTCAGATCTATATTCTTAAGGTCTTAAAGTACATTCTGATTTCATTTCAGGTTTTTCAATTCTTTTAAATGATTATTATTATTATTATTATTATTATTATTATTATTATATCTTTTTTATATCTATTTATATTTTAATATTCTTACTTGCTCCTGTAGATTCTTAATATAATAAACCTGCATGTTCTATAAATTTATCATAATCTTCTTCGTATTATTCTAATGGATAAACTTTTTCAAAATTTCCAATATTCTAATTCTCATATTAATCTCTAATTTCTTAACATTACTTTATTAGTTTTTACTTCTCTTCCAATGTCAATTTAATTGGTTTAGTTGTTAACATCCTTTACTGAAGTAATTGCTTTTCTTAATTTATACATTCCTATTTAGCCTTCTAAGTACAATTCATCAAAATTAATGATTATGAAATCAATTCCCTTTTTATAGTTGCATCCAAAGGAGTATCTGTTGTAAAACTTGGAGAATGATTGACTTCCAATAAATAAGGTTTAAGTTTATGATCCAAAATAACATCCATACCTAAGACTTCAAAACACATATTATTCATATGATTATTTGGTTAACAAGATTTATATTAATGAGCTAAAATAGGTTATACAGCACAAAATGTCTTAATCATCATTTTTTTAATTGTTTTCCATAATTAATCAACATTCTCACCTCTACTTTTTAGTAATTCAAAAACACTAGTCATACTTCTCTTATGTCCAACATCCATTTATTTATCACTCTAATTAAATACAAAATTTTCATTATCTTTATTAACAGCATAATTTGTAAGATGCATACAAATATTATCCAAATTGTCTTTACCTGGTTTTTTGTATAATTCTGTTGCAAATCTAGCAAGACCTTCTTTAAATATATAAATTCTTAAAGGATCACAACCAGCCAATAATACATAAATTCGAAGATCAAATTTTAAACCATCTATTAAATAAGGTTTACTTAAATATCTTTATGCTACATAATGTTCATGAATTGAAAGACCTTCAGCATCTTTAACCAACATTATCCCTTTACCTTGACATGATGCTTCAGGTTTAATGATAAAAGTTCTGTTCTTTCCAATATTTGCTCTAAAATCACTTAATTCTGCTGGCAATAACCAAGTATAAGGGAAGTAATTATATGCTTAAGGAAACTATTTATGCATCTTCATAAGGTTCCTTCCCAAATGATTTTTACGAGCTAAACTATACATTCCTGGAAAATGATTCACTTTTTGATAAGCTAAACTATTTGATTTATTAATTACAATTCATTCTCCCTAAAAGATCAGAAAAGACAGCTCCATCTGTCCACCATACATCCCAATTAGTTGCATTTTCATCCTTCTAAATTTTCCAATTTAACATCTTTTTACCAACATATCGTATCACCGGGTATTAGGAGCCTAAAAGGAGATATGTAGATCATTTGTACTGGAAACATTAATTATTAATTGTTCTTTGCTTTTCTTAACCTTATTTTTTGGTTTGGTCACCTCTTTTTATGTTTAACTATCATCTTATTACATAGTATATATAAATCAATAAATAAAAATTCATAACAATTATTAATAAGTAGAAACTAATAGCCTATTTTTGAAACTCTGATATATTCTTTTACCTAATTCCTAATGCAATCCTAAATTGAGTAAACTGATTGCACTAGGAATACATTACTAAATTTCTTTTAAAGAGTATTTTATTGTAACATTCTTACAATTTTTCATACTCTAAAAATACAAATGAAACTTTTTTCTCTTTTCTTAATAAAAAATTGAAACATAAATTTATGTTGGTCTCATTGTAAATATCATTCTCTTCAATAAAACATATTAATATTACTATAATAAAAAATAAAATATACTTTAAATGCAGCATATTGTTTATAATTAGCATTTACTTTGATTAATTAAGGACATTTTTCATCTCCTAGAACATCTTAAACAATAAATGTACTTGGATTCAATTTTAATTACTTTTTTAATTTATTTAACATATAAACTGAACATTTTTAAATATCAGATTATATGAATTCATATGAATCTACAAAACAATCTTTTAGTTTAAGATTTTAAAGATTTCTTCTCTCATCATAATAATAACTATACAAAACCTTACGTAACATTAATTTAAAATTAACTACTTTAGGTTCTTCAAATAATGTAATTCTTTGATAAAGTTAAAAGTTTTAACTTTCATTCAATCTTATAGGAACACACACTTTAAACATATCTAATGGTTTACGAACATTTTCCACAAAAACTTCAAATAAAGCATTTACTTCATTTCCCAAATAAACTACTTAAGTATATAGATTTTCTCTTAAAACACCTTAAAAAGAATCAAGATTGAAAATGAAATGATTTTGAGAATTTTTGGTAATAATTATTTTATTCATAAGAGCTTCCCAAATTTTAATTTCAAATGTAGAAATCATATCAAGATTATTTTTTCTTACAAGTATTTAATTAAAAAATAGATCCTTATCACTTTAATAGTAATTTTCCATACTTCCTTAATTTGAGATTCTTGGACTATGTTTAAAGAATAGACTTTTGTCTGCACGAGGAATATTCTATTATTAGGAAGGTAAAGACAAACGCATTGGATTTAGATTTCCAATTGAATTTTATACACTATATTATTTGGCAATCTATTTTTTTAAGAATATTGGAGGTTATGTTGATGATCTTACATTCTATCTACTTTAATCACTAAAAGATTCAAGTAATTTAGGTGTATCATCATAAGGTTTTTCAAGTAATTCATCTTCATTATTAATTGATACTTTGCTTTCTGTTAATTTTTATAATTCCAATTAAGGTATGGCTCTTGCTTAACTTCTCATTTCACTATAAAAATCTTCAAATTCATCAGGATGATTGACAGCAATTTAATAAATCTTGCTCATTTCAGAGAATTTCCATCTATTTATATAAAATTAATCAATAGTTTCTTTAGTTACTAAACATGATGGAAAGATAGATTCTAAAAATTCTGGATTCATTTATTAGAAATCACTCTATTAAATATAACAACTAAAATTCCTACAAGTTTATGGTATATACAATCCAATTTAAAATTTATTCATAGACAAATATGAGACAGTTATAATAACATACATAGAATTGACAACTTTAGTAGTTTTATATATAAATTTTTATCCTCTAAATACGGGTGTTAACATAGATGTATTCTTTAAAATTCTACTGGCTTCAGCTGGTAATTATAAATTATCAATTTAAACATCCATCATTTATGTTTATGATTTCTTACGAAAAACATTATCATTTAATAATATAGATAATTTAGGTTAAGATGATCTAACATTTTATTATTCTTCTAAGATATTACTTCCATATGTAACTTCAGTAAATGTATTATGTAGATCATATTTTGATTGATTAATAATATAAGATAATGGTATCTTTATTCCATGATAAGTATTAGTTCTATAACAAATTAAGTAGGCAGTCAATATTTTGAGAACATCATGTAAAATCTTATCATGAAAACAATTATGAAGTGCAACTTTTGGACAAATACTTTTTATATCTGCTAGATCCAAAACTAATTTGAATATTTTTGTTCTACTTTCTTATGGAGTAATTTAAAAGTAAAAATAAGTATGTTCACCATTTTCTTGATCAAAATAAAATCTATTGAATTAATATACTTCACATTCCACAAATACTTTTCCAATATTACTGACTCTACTTTATGCATTAAATGTTTTTCTAAGAAAATAAGTATTCATAAAATATCTTAAACGACTTGATGAAATTAAAGTTAATTTTAATTGTTATTTAAAATAATAAAAAAGGATAGTTTGTTTTAAAAGTCTTTGATTTTCATTACTAATAAATTACAATGGATCAGATATGTACATTAATAAAAATTAATCTAATGCACTATATTTATCTCTATTTCTTTCTTCTAAACTAATTTATTATTTTTTAAATTGTAATGCTTTTCCTATTAATCGATGTTAAATTTTAGATTATGATCTAATTTATTAACCAATCATCTAAGGTTTATTAAAAATATGTAATATTTTTTCAACATCTTATAGTTAATGTACAGTTCTATAATATGTTAATCTTTAATTAGGATAATATAATCTAATTTTAATTTATAATTTTTTTAATCCAATTAATTCATGCATATTCTTTTTTAGAATAATCAAATCTTATTTAGCTTATTAATCACTTAAATATAATAATTTAGTATCAAATACTTTAGTTTCTTTGAAACATACTTCAACTCTGAAATATGAATTAGTATCTTTGAAATAAAATTTATTTTTTATAATATTAAATTTACTTCTATAATTTTTAAATGATTTTCCATTTAAAGCATTCTCTTAATAATTTTATTAATTAGATTCATTTATAATAGATAAATGAATACCTTCTTCAGTCTCTGTCTAAGATACTTATTAATCAATTACTAAAGAGGCCATTCTCTCTGAATAAATTAAACTATGTATATCAGTCAATGGTAATAATTAACCAGCCTATAATTATTAATAAATTTCATTATATATGAATTCATCATAGTGATTAATTCTTTTTATATATCTATCTAATAAAATAAATGTATGTCTGAAATCATATATTTATAATTCTTATATTAATGATAATTTCTTTTATTTTTCTGTATGAATTAATTTATTGATAATTTCTAATTTCTTTTTTCTATTGGGTAATCTCACACCAAAATCAATGTTTATTTCTTTTTTGTTAATACTACCATCTTAATTATTTGTAACAAGGAAGGCTTTGGATTCTTATATTAAAACATATCCAATTAATATTGTATTATTTTATTTAAAGATTAAATTAAGTGCAACATAATTATCTGGATATTCATTAATATATTCTTCAGGTTCTGGTTAGATGATAATACCTTTAGGAGGAAAGTAAGGTTCCATATTCATATTACCATTTAATTTAATGATAGGACCTTCTTTTGGTGAATAATCTTAATAATCATCTAAATTTGCTAATTAAAATTCTGGAAAATATTCTTAAACTAATTAAACTTCAGATTAAGATCTATCCTTATATTCTTACAAATCTTCTAAACTTTTTTTAGATTAAGGAGGTTCGAAGACTTCCTTTTATTATTATCTTTTAGCAAATTCAGAAAATTGACTACCTATTTTTGGAGCCATACTATTTCTAATTAAGGCTTATGAAGAAATAATTGGTGTATTTCTAGGACTAATCATTGTATTTCTATTATTGATAGTAGTATATTATTTTTTTGGATGTCTTAAAGGAGATTATTTAACTTAATCTCTTTCAGAACTATTATCATTTGATTTAACATTGATAGATGGACGTTTTTAATCTGATTAAGATGCATTTTCATGAGAATATTCAGATTTATTATCATCAGATTCTTAAATAACTATGCTTTATTCATCCATTAATGCTTAATGTCTTCGTTATGTAGATTAAGTAATTATTGGTTGTTCTTATTGATGATGTTTAATTAATTTAATAGGTTCATTTTTAAATTGTTTAAGAATCATAATTCTTTTTTGTTCATTTTAAATCTTTTTATTTCTATTACATTTAGTTATATCAATAATATAATCAAGTAATTTTTTATTAATTGCATCTTTCATTGAAACTAATTTATATCCAACTACAGATCTTATAAGATAATAATGATTTTTAAGAGCATACATTAATTTGGCTATAATTTATTAAGCAAAATCAGTTTTTAAGAATACTATAGTTTTACAAATACTTGGTTCATAGAGATTTTATTATTTACAGTATATACTTAAGAGACCATTAAAATTTTCTAAACGATCTTTAGAAAACCATCTTTAATATTCATCAAGATAGCTAACAAAATTATTGATTTTGAAATTCAAATTGTATTACTATTCATCATTTTATAATGTAAAATAGACTATCAATTACAATGCAATAATAGATTATTATTCAGTAAATATATTCATTATATGTTATAATTAATGTCCTAAAATATATATATATATATTACTTAATTATGAAGGAGTATTTACAAATGATATTTATTCATCTTCATCAGTCTAATTACTAGAATATCCATTGTCACTAAATGCACATATTGAAATATTAGATAATTTCCAGATTTTGATTTCATCATCAAAGAATAATTTACCTAAAAAGTACATATCTTAATCTGGAAGATTATAAAAATCTACAATTATTTAAATTAACTAATATTTGATATTATTAAATATTACTGTTTTAGCTTTGTTTGTACTAATTTATTCAGCTTCATTATTTTTTATCTCTCTAACAATCTAATCAAATCTTCCTCCCTTTCGTATAGAATTCTTAAGTTCTTTTACTGAAACTTTCATTGTGGTTCTATTGGTTTGAATACTATCTAATTTATCACTACATGCTGTTTAACTTTATGGTTTTTATGTAGCCAATGGAGTTAATTCAATTGTTTGAATAGTTTTAATTTTTCTTATATTGCATTTATATTTTCTAAAATATTATTAAATAATTGTAGCAGCAAAATTTAATTATTCAATTGAATACTTATTTAATAAGTCATTATAGATATTCTCACTTTATTCAGTAATTTCAGTTTACATATGTTATAATAAAGGTATAAGAACTTATTATTAAGGAGATTATTATTATTAAGCCAATACTGATTCAGTTGTAGGTACTCTCATTTCATCTAATTATTATTGCATATTTAAATCTAAAACTGTTTACATTTTAGGTAATTTCTACTCACTTTATTATGTATCAGATTTATTATGTAACATTTATGTATTTTATTTATTTAACATTCTAGGTATAAGTCTATTTGATTTGATTTTCTTTTTATTAGAAATTAATTATTCATTTTGATCTCCTTATTTATTAGTTTTCTTTTTTAATTGAAGATGTTCAGATTTGAATTGAGGTCTTATAAGCATCATTTCATCAATAGGTTCTGTTTTAAGTTAAGCTTCTTATAATTAAACTCTACATTTAAATTAAACAATACTTCAATTTATCCATATAATTTTCATTCATTAAACTTGTTCTTTGAGAATGTGCTATCAAAGATAATCTAGGAGAGAACAATTTATCTTAAGGTAATAATGATTAATTCATATAAGTTGATGCTGCTCTGGATGATAGTTTTTTATTTTTTATTTGAAATGTTTTTTCTTATTGTTATTAATATTCATCTATTTATTATTAATTAGAAATAGTTTTCAATTTCTCTTCATATTCTTATCTTACTTTCTTAATATATTCAGGCATTTAATATTTAGTTGAATGTGATGACAATTATCTCACTATTTATTGATAAGATTTTACTTATGTTTACATATGATGCTATCAATATTAAATATAAATAAAATACATCAAAATTTTTGTTTGGTTTTAATGTAACAACTTTACGTAATAATTCTTATCCAACATCTTTTTAAAGATCAGCTTTGAATTATTGAAAATCTACTTTCTCTTATCCCATAATCATTTCAAATTCCATCTTTTAACTTAATTTCTCATATTTATCTCTTGCTTTCATAGTTGCTGGTGCATCAGGTCCAAATATTAATTCTTAAATTTACCAAGCTTTGTATAGATTTCTTAATGATTCTCTTTCAAATCCTACTTTAAATTGAGATTTTCCTATATAATAAAATGCTCTTGCTAACATCATAAACCATTTTTTATATTCTTAATGAAATTCTTCTTTTGTTAATGTACGTAAAGAATCAAATGTAATTCCCAATCTTTACAAAATGTCAACTAATTTATTACATTAATCTAACATATCATCTTTACGATGCATCATTCTACAAACTTCACTACCATGAAATAGTAATTAAGCATATAATTTTAATACTTATTTATCATCTTCACAAATATTGACTCTTTTTGTATATGAAAATTTCTCCATAAAAGGCAATACATCTCTTAGATTCATCCAAGCTTTTTAAAATTATCCTTGTTATTCATATAATTATGATATTTATAGTATTGCATGTCCTCTTGATTTTACAAATGTATTTGTATAAAATATTCCACTTGTTATTGATATTGGTGTAGTAATCTATAGATTCTAATTATTCCAATACCTCTTTTGCTCTATTAAAAAACATTTCTGCTTATGTATTATTTCCTTATTTCAAAAGTATTCTTCCATCTTTGATCAATGTATTTGCAAATTCTACAGCTGCATTGACTACAAGTGGAGATTCCCAACCATTCTAAGATAATGTTTATAAATAAGATCGTTCTAATCTCTACAGATTCAACAGTTATCCTGATTACATATTTAATTAAATGAGAAACTCATGAAAATTTGATTATAATTATATGTCAATTTTACACTTTAGATTTAATTACTATTCTAATATTTGGTTTTCTTTAATCTCCCAATATTTGTAGATTTTCTTCTCTCTATTCTTTTCCATTTTATTAAATTATTTAGACCTTTTCAGTTTCATCTGTCTACAATTAATTATTCATTTCATTTTAATATTATTATTATTATAATGCTAAACCCTTTAAATCTCTTAATTTTAATCCTATTAAAAATTATTGATATTCTTTATCCTTTGTTATATTTGCTAATCTCATACAACAATTTCGCATCTGTGATCTTAAATAATTACATTTATTTTTTGATTTCCAATCAATTATACTTTTATTTGATCCAAGATTTTTTAATATAAATTATTTCAAAAATTCTGGTATTCTTTATTTGTTAATTGAATAAAATTCTTAAGACTTTTAATCTAATTTAATAACAAAAAAAGAATTTCTATCAATTATTTGTTAAAAAGTCAATTCATAAAAAATATTTATATTGCATTAGGTTTCACTTAATAAAGCAACTAAAAGTGATAAATTGCTATGACCAATTAAATTTAAATCCTCTATCAATTTACTCACAAATTATTTATATGATTTAATCTATTGTCTTATTGTAATATCTCTACTTTTATTTAAATTATCTATTTCATTTTGTTTCTTTATCAATTATTATGAAAATGACTTTTATTTTAGTTCTAATCTGATTCCGCTTTTTTGATGATTAGATGCTGATTTTATTTTATTCCTTAAGAAATCTCTTTATAATATATGAATATGTTAATCTTCATATAAATGTTTGTATGCTTCCTTTTCAAAAACATCCATTTTACAAGATTTACACCAAATATGATTTCTCTCTATTTGATATATTTTAAATAAAGGATTAAGTGTTTATTTCAATATTCTAGAGTCATTAAATGAAGTTTAATGTTTATTAGCTACAGAACTCCTAGATTAATATGATGAATCTAATTTCTTCTTCATAGTATTTTAAAGAATGGTTATATTTTATTAATAAAGTTTAACAAATAATCATTTCAAATAATAGACAATTACAAAATTGCTTTTTTAAAATGTAATTTTTAAACATATAAATTATTATCATATATCACTACAAATCTATTCTTAATTGTCTAATCTTCTTTATTTCATTTGATGATAATTCAGATATAGCACTGCTACTTAAAAAATCTTCCATTTCTTTATAAGATTCCAAAAGCAATGTACTACATATCAATTATAATCTAGCAAATGCTTATTTATTATTTGGATTTGTCATCCTATAAAATTAATATATTATATAATACGTTATTAAATAATTGATACTTGTTCTAACTTCTTTTTCTAAAATTACAGCTCCTGTTTAATGAAATTTTTTATTCATAATAATTTATTCTAATTATTTTGCTATTGAATAACATAAATGTAATGACATTTATTCATAATTATCTTATGTAAATTAAGTCTTCCATTAATTTAATCCTTTAAAAGCATTCTTTATTTAATTGGAAAAGTATTTTTAATACTCTCTTTCTTATTCTAACATTACAACATCCTTCTAATCAAAATGTAATTATTTTATTTCTTCAAACACTTCCTTTACTGTACTCTTCAAATTCTCTGCTAATACCTTTAATTTCTCTTCTATCAATTTTTAAAACTTTTTAGTATTTACTTCAATCATTTCTTCCACTGCCCCAACAATCATTTATGATTATGGACCTTTAGGTAATTCACTATAAATTTATGATTTAAGAGTTTTCAAATACATAGGTATATTACTTAAAATATTAAATAACAAAATTATGAATGAATTATTTACTGTTTACTCTTATGATATACCTATAGCTTATGGAGAAAAATATTCTTTCTTTAAATATCGATGAAATAATTAAAGAGCAATTTAATGTAAATCATCTGAAATTACTTAAAATCCTATGAAATTGATTAATGCACTAGCAATAATTTAATTTTCAGTGGAAATAGCTCTTTAAATTTATTATTTTATTAAATAGAATATTTCTTCTAACCATTCATGATATCCATTACTTAAAAGTACATTTTGACATTCTAATAATTTAGTAAATTTAGCCTTATCAAAATTCCATAAATCTTTAAGAGGTTCTGATTTTTAAACAAAAAATACTATTTATTATTATAATTCAATTTAAGAGAACTCTAAGTATTTACTTAAATATTCTGTAATAGATTCACCTATTGCCAAATTAGTAATATCTTTATCTAATTCTGCAGTTTATTTTAAATGTTACAAAAATCCATTATATTCACTTGATATAGCTGAAATCTCATCACAATAATATGAAACCTTTTCTAATTATTTTTAATCTAAATTAATCTTTTTAGAAATAGATTGTAATAATTAATTATCATAACTTTGAACAGATTTTGCATTCTTAACCATTTTCTCAATTTCAAAAAAGGAATTTAATTATTTTAAAACACCTAGTAAATATGGATGTGATATTTTAGATACTAGATAATCAATTAATTCTAATACACCTTCAACTCCATAATATTATTAAACATTTTTAGAGAATTTTTCTGGTTTTATTAATTCTAAAATTCCAACAAAATAATTCAAAAATGGATAATGATATTTATTATTTACAATATCTTAAAAGGATAATGGTAGATTTTATTATTCATTCTATTCTAAGAGTCTAAGATCTTTAAGTAATTCTTCACCATAAATGTTTTTAACTTTATCTAAAGATTATTCTAAATGTAGAACTCTAGCCAAACCTGAACATAAATTAATTTTTTCAAGTTCATTATTTTTGACTGCTAATTCAAATTATTACTTTTAAAATGGTATCAATTAGTTCATAATAATATTTTCTACAAATTGATAATCTGATTGACAAAATTCTTTCAATAAATTAGGTAGTATCTCATAATAGACTTGACCAAATTTAATACATGATGCAATATCTTATTATTCAATAGCAATTGGTAATTGATTCTTAATTCGACTCAATTCTAGAAAACAATTCAATGTATTTAATAACAACTCTACGTTTTTCTTTTGATTTCTTGCCATACTTGATATTTTTACTTAAGTGCTTCAAAACTCTTTATTGTAACATGAGCATTTTATTAAATTTGATGTACTTGATTATCCATAACAATAGCATCCTATCTTAAATTTGATACTTTGGAAATGCTATTTTTAATGGAATCATCAAGAGTATCACTTTCATTTGAATTGAGTAATTTGTTAGCTTCAAGAATGAGTTTTTATTTTCTCATACTGTAAAGAACTTCTTCTTACTCAATAAGTGGATAGATATCTTTTAATGAGTTCATTATAATATATATATAAATATAGTATATTAATGTATCACACAATCATTTGTATATTTCATAATTTAAAATAACAATGAAGAGATTAGGATAAGCTCTGATCTTGATTTATTGGTTAACTCTACTATAAAATACATCTGCAGCTTCGAACTCTTTAAGTGTTTCAAATGCTGCTTGTTCATGCACATAACTTTTAACTGAGAAAGAATGTAGAGAACGTAAATGTTATTGGAACAACAAAAAATGCTCTATTTTAACAATAAACACAGTCAATTATTGCGATTCAATAGGGATAGATGTTTGTAAAAGTACAGCTGGTTGTGCTAATGTTTCTGAGAAATGTGTGTCTTTTTCAGGATGCAGTGCTTACTAATACCCAACGAATGAAACTTGTTAAAACATCTCAATAAATTGTACTACAGATGGTGAATAGTGTATAGAATTAGATAAGTGTAGTAGTTACAAAAATCAGGTAAGTTGCGTAAAAGATGAAAACGGGAAGTTTTGTTATTGGAATACTGAAAAGAGTATATGTGAATTACCAACAACATGTGATTTATTACCAATTTCTTTAAATTCTGATTTATTATGTAGAGCATAGATTAGTAGTTGTACAATGAAGGAGGGTGGTGGATGTGAAGCAAGTGGAGAAAAATGTGAAAATTAAAAATTGGAAGGAGCATGTTATACAAGTTTAGATTAAAAAAAGTAATGTATTTGGGATTAAAATTCATGCAAAGAAAAAATATGTATAAATGCTCCTATAACTAATATTACACATGAATTATGTACAAAATATTTAGCTACTTGTACAGTAAATGATACTTTAAATGGATGTCTAGATTAATAAATGTTATGTTCATCATATAAGATTTAGGAAAATTGTATTATTAATAGTGTTGGTTAAAATTGTTATTGGAATAAAAATAATAAAAAATGTGAAGATAAAAATTGTGATAATGCAACTGATGAATATTAGAATCATGATATGTGTTAATAATGGTTGAATACTTGTACTGTTAAATCTGAAGGAATAGGTTGTTAGACTAAATTAAATGATTGTACAAAATATACTACTTTTAATTAATGTATTAAGACTTTAGCTGGAGATGAATGTTTTTGGAATGAAACTAAATGTTAATTAAAATCATGTGAGAATGCACCTTCAACAAATATTAATCATGATATGTGTTCTTTATTTTTACCAATTTGTACTGTATAAATTGATTTAACTGGTTGTGAAAAGAAAAAGGCTACATGTTCATTATATACAAAAGAAGAATAATGTGTATCTTAATTAGATGGTAAGTTATGTATATTCTAGAATGATTTATGTATAGAGAGAATTTGTAGTAATGCTTCTGAAGACTTAACAAACGATTAAGAATGTAAAAGATTTTCATCTACTTGTATGGTCAAATCTAATTATAAAGGATGTATTTTATAAGAATGCATAAATATTTAAACAAAAGATCATTGTACATTAGATTATTAAAATAAATAATGTTATTATGGATTATAATGTTAATTAAGAAGTTGTGCTAATGCTCCATAAACATTTAAAACAGATGCAGAATGTAGATCATTTTTAAATGAATGTACAGTAAATGAAGAACTTAAAGGATGTATAGAGAGACCATCATCATGTGATAAATTAAATGAATAATAATGTACTATGTTAAGTGATAATATTACAAAATGTAGTTGGAATGATGATGATGAAAGTAATAAAATATGTAGAATCTTTAATTGTTCAGATATTACACCAGGAACATAAACAAATGAAACTTGTAGTGCTTTTGATTCATCTTGTACAGTTGCTGATAATCCAAGTATATGTATGTAAAAACCATTGGGTTGTTCATTAATGTTAAATAAAGATCATTGTTTAGCAGTAATATTAATAGATATGTATTCAACTTGTAGTTGGGATAATGAAAATTAATTATGTAGAGATCGTTAATGTTCAGATGCTGATTAAGCTATAAAAACAGAAAATGAATGTAGAAAATATTTATCTATATGTACACTTAGTACTACAGGTAGTGGATGTATGAATGAACCTACATCATGTAAAGGATATAATTCAAAAGAGGTTTGTTAAAGTTTAGTATCTAATCCAAATAATATAATATTATGTGGTTGGAATGGTTGTGAAAATAGAACTTGTTTTAATGCACCTATTTTAAATTAAGGATAATAATATACACATTAATTATGTCATACATATTTAAATTCATGTACTTTAAATGCTGATTAGACTGGTTGTGTTGCTAAATTTACATCATGTGATGAAATTAAAAGTTAATTTTAATGTGGAGATACTGTTTTAGTAAATGGATCAAGATGTTATTATGATGTTTCAACAGATAATTATTTTTGTAGAGACTTTAAATGTACAGATGAAACCTCTTCATAAATGACACATGCTAAATGTTAGAGTTTTAGTAATTAATGTACTCTTGGTGAAAGTGGAATGGGTTGTATTGATCTATTAAGTTCATGTTCAGACATTAAAGAAATGTAATAATGTGAAGGAACTATTTTGAGTTTAAATCGTTTATGCAGTTGGGATACTAATCCTACACCTGAATCTGAAAATTAAGTTCCAATTTGTAAAGATAGATAATGTAAATTCAGTCCTCAAAAAGATACTTCTGATGGTTGTGAAAGTTATTTAGGATCTTGTACACTTGGAGATCCAGAATTAGGATGTATTGAAAAACCTTCATCATGTAATGGTTTAACTCAAAAATAATGTAATAATGTAAAATTAATTAATGGAACATATTGTTCATTTGATAGTACTATTTTAGTTGAATCTGAATAATGTCATCCTAGAATTTGTGCTGATGCTCCTACTAAATATTAAACTGATGCTGATTGTAGAACTTGGTTACCTAATTGCACAGTAAGATCTGATGAATCTGGATGTATTGATGAACCTGCTGATTGTTCTTAAATGATGAAATTGTAATGTTTTAAACAATCTACCAAAAAAGTTACTTGTTTCTGGAATGCCAATGCTAATCCTGCCAGTTGTAGAGCAGCTTTATGTACTGATGCAAGTACAAGTTTATATACAAGTGATGCACTATGTAAAACCTATAGATCAGATTGTACTGTTGCTAAAGCTAATGGTTGTATTACATAACCAACTTCATGTGCTTCTTTAGATTAAGATCATTGTCCTAAAGTAACTATCAATGCAGCAAGTAAAGATGCTAGTGAAAATAAGTGCAGTTGGAGTCTTGCAACTTCAGCTTGTTAAGATAGAGTTTGTACTGATGCACCCAATACAATTAATACAGAAGAAGGTTGTAGAAGTTGGCTCAAGACTTGTACTCTTGGATTAACTAATTAAGGATGTATTACTGAATAGACCACTTGTGATTTAGTATAAACATAGAATTAATGTTAAGTGTTATCTAATGGTACTAAATGTGGATGGAATACAGGTTGTGTAAATAGAACATGTTCTAATGCTCCTGATACTTATATTACTGATGAATAATGCAGAGAATATCTATCAACTTGTACTGTTTAAGCAGATGGAACTGGATGTGTTATAAGGGCATCTAAATGTACTGATATTTTAGTAGATAAACAATGCATTAAAATTAATAATAGTAAATTATGTCAATGGAATACAATTAAATTAAAATGTGAAGATAGAGCATGTACTAATGCTCCTATTACATTAATTAATCATGATATGTGTTAAAATTTCTTATCTACTTGTACTGTTAAAGCAAGTGGAACTGGTTGTTAAACATTGTTTGATAAATGTTCTGCATATACAGTAAATAAACATTGTATATTAACATCAAATAATAATGGTTGTTAATGGGTTATCATTTCAGGAACAGGATAATGTGTAGATATTTATGAATCATGTTCATCTTATACTATGGAAGCATCTTGTACTGCATAAAAGAATTAATCTAAATGTATTTGGTCAAATGGATCCTGTTATAATATAGAATGTTAACATGCACCCAAATCTTATTCAACTCATGAATAATGTCAAGAATATGGAAATTGTACTACTAATGGATAAGGTTGTATAAATTATATACCATGTGATTAATATAAATATGCAGCTTCTTGTGTATAAGGAATCAATGGTAAATGTGCAATTGTTAATTAATGTTAAAATATCAGTTGTGATTTAGCCCCATCTACTTATAAGACTCATTCGGATTGTCAAGCATTTCTATCTACATGTACTACAAATGGAAATGGTTGTATTGAAATCAAGAGATGTTAAGATGCTTATGTGGAAGAAGCCTGTAAAATTAATACAATTAAAAGAGAGTGTGCCTGGGTGAATGGAATGTGTTATGATAAAAGTTGTGATACTGCTGATATATCTATTTAATCAGAAAAAGGATGTGATGAATATTATCCTGAAGGCAAATGTACTACTAAAAAAGGAGGAGGTTGTATTACAAAAGGCAAGTGTAAAGATGCATAAGTAGAATCAGCATGTACTTTATAATTTGATGGATAGAAATGTTCATGGTAAAATGGAACTTGTTAATTGAGATCATGCACAGATATATTGGGTTATGATCATAAAACATGTAATACTGCTTAAGCTGATTGTACAACAGATGGATTTCAATGTACAATGATGAAAACATGTTCAAATACTTTGATTGAATAAGCATGTATTAAGGGAACAGATGGACCATGTATATGGAGTTATGGAAAATGTTATAGATATACAAAATGTACAGATCTTATTTATACAACTCATGTAGAATGCAACTCTATCCATCCTTAATGTACTACAAATGGATATAATTGTGTTGCTATTACAAAATGTTCTAAAACACCTAAAGTTGCTTGTTTTATAGGTATTAATACAAATTAAATTGGAAAATGTATTTGGACACCAACATCTGTTAAAATATCAGCACCCTATTAATGCATCGACTTTACTGATTGTACAAATGCATTATATTTAAATCATAATGATTGTTATAATTATTCTCTTGGATAATGTACAAGTGATGGTGTAAGTGGTTGTATTAAATTAGATAATTGTACAAATTATACTGTTTAATCTGCATGTTTTGTTGATAAAGCTGGAAAATCAATAAATTCAGCTGGAGCTATTACATCAACAGGTAAATGTAAATGGTCATCTGGTAAATGTGTTGCTTAAGGTTGTATTGATATTATTGGATATAGTCATAATGATTGTAATAGTTAATTGAGTACATGTACTTATAATGGAAAGAATTGTGTTGTATAAGGTACATGTAGTAGTTATACTACAAATGATGCTTGTACAGTTACAACAGGTACAGATGGTAAATGTTATTGGGATAGTAATACATGTAAAGCTATGAAATGTGAAGATTATCCTGTTACTTTATGTTCACTTTATTCATCTACTTGTATTTAAGATGGATCAACATGTGTTTCACTTCAAGAATGTTCATAATATAAAACTTAAACAGCTTGTGATTATGGTAGTCCAACTAGTGTTTGTGCTTGGATTGTTACCACTACAAATAATAAAGGTAGATGTGTTGAAGTAACTACATGTACTATAGCTACAGTCTATGAAAAGGCATGTAAGAAATTGTCAGATAGATGTTATTGGTAAACTATTACTGTTGCTAATTCAACAGAACATATTTGTGCTCCTAAAACTTGTGAGATACAAACTGGAACTACTTGTACAGGATTTTATGATTGGTCTCTTAAAACTTATACTGTATGTTAATTTAGTGCTTAAGGGAAATGTATATCTACTGATCCCACCAGCTTGTATTAAAATGATTGTCCATTGGCTACCTTATATTAATACACCTGGAATCCAACTACAAATAAATGCACTATTTGTAATACAGTTTAAACCAATAATTCTACACAATAGAATTAATCAAATACAACTGAAGATAGTTCAGCATATATTTTATCAATTGTAATTCTTCTTGGATTTGTAATTTGATTATGCATATTAATATCAATATATATATATATTTATCATTTATAATAAGTAGGTCCCATATATTAAGAAGGTTGTTTTTAAATTATTAATCTACTATCCATAGGTAATATTCGACTTTGAGGTAGCATCTATGTTTAAGGAATAGCTTATTATCTAACCATTTTAAATATGCTATTTGTTTTTGTTTATTGAAATTATTATTATTATTATTATTATTATTATTATTATAGTAATTTCTCATAATTTAATAGTTATTTCAAAAACCCTGTATTTGGATTTACCTATCTTCTCTTTGATTTCAATTTCCATAAAGCTTTCTCCATATTCAAATTGTATTTCCTCATTAAATATGCAACTACTATAGTAGGAGATCTACTGATTCCCAAAAAACAATGAACCAATATATTAGTATGTTTTCTATGTCTTTCAATAAAATCAAATGTTTAATCTGCAAATTGTAATATATTATAATCATCTTTATCATGTGCTTATACTACATGATGAAACTAAACCACCAAATCACTATATTAAACTGCCGTTTCCTAACTTGCTGTTAATACTGCCCTAATTTTTAATCTCTTAAGCATATCAAGATCCTTTGCTCCTTCATATCCTCCAACATATATTCCTCCCTCCTCATGAGCTATTAAAACATCTAAACTAAATTACACTAGACTCAATAATGCATGTGATTGGATCAGGATCAACTATTTATGGTACTGAATAAACGAACTTTAAATCTTCCAAAGGTATAGTTGTTAATACTATGCTTCTAGAAAACGCATCTAAAGTTTAGGACATTTACAATAATTTAAAATTAATATAATATATTTCAGTATTATTATAAATATTCAAAACTTTCTTGGATATTATGCTCTTTAAAATATGGTTTTATTATTTTTTTAAAAGATTTTTGAGTTTTAAAACTTTGAATTAGGATCCACATTTTGGATTTCTTATAATTTAAGATTACTCTTTGTTCTGGAAGTGATAATTTTCTATTTAACTATTGAATATGTGTTATATAATTCAATAAAAATAAAAAAGATTAATACACTAAGCAAAACAGACATCTATAACCATGAAATAGTGATTTTTTGAGTATATAAAAGATAACTAGAAAGAATATTCCAATTAACAAAAGTTGAGGCAGTAAAAATGGTAGTTGAAGTCTCCATTACAATTACTTTAGCATATTCTAAATTATCATAATCTACATATTTAAAATTGATTGTGTATATCAAATAGAATACATTAATCAAAGTTAAAATCAAAGTTTATAATTCTTACTCATATTAATAGAATATGAGAATATAGAGTATCAGAAACTTTTTGGTCACTTAAAAGATATCTCTCTTGTGTGACCAAAATTAATTGAAATTTTGTTTCTACCATGATTTCAGTCCTGTTACTTAATTTAATAATAATATTATTGTTATTACAAGGATTAAAGTAGCAATCAATATACAAATCCAAGTTCTTGAATATGTAAAATCATGATCAGTATTTAATTCCAATAATGACATAAATATTAGATCCCAAGCACAAGCACGTAAAGTGTTTTTAAGAGCATACATCTTTGTCTCCTTTACTTTCTTATAAACTTTCCGTTTCATTTTTTATATATATCTAACTAATTTTGGCCATTCTAATAAGAATTCAGAAGATTCTAATTTTGAAAGTATCTTAACGAAAAATAATGTACTTATATAAACTAGATATAAAGTTGCAAAGACTATAATTTCAGCTCTAAATCCTTCAGCAATATCAGCATTGACTTCATAAAATTCAAACTTTTCATAAGCTTATAAATAAGGAAATTTAAGTAATCTTCCTTAGTTTTTGTACTGACTAATGATATCTAATATTTCATTAACAGATATGACTTAACTTGATTAAAAGTAAATAATTAATGTTTATGGATATAATACATTAATATATTTGAGATATGATTATTCTTAAAGAGCATCTAAAATAAACCAAAAAGAGAGAGCATTTCCTAAAAGCATTGGTAAAATAGATAGGAGACATAAAGATTTAATTGATATTTCATTTATATATTGGAAAGTTCTAGCCATTTATATCTATTCTTAATTAATATAATTTGATTATTTCAATTACAAGTATTCTTTCATATATATTAAAGGAGCTAAATTATTATTATATAATTATTCGGTTAAAATAATTTCTAATATTGGATAGTAGTCTAGATTCTTAAATATTTCAATTTACAAAATATATTGTACTTCAGATACTTAATTAATTAAGGCTGGTTATACTTCCATGATAGTGATATTAAAGAGGGTTTCATTTAAATCAACAATCGATGCTTTAATATTTTCTAAATAGTTAATATTTGATTATTTTAATACAGGTTAAGAAAATGCAATATTTACATATTGATATTAATTCTTTTACATTAGATATTCAGTTATAATTGTAGGATACTTAACATAATTGCAATCTCTACCTAATTTACAAATCCAATTAATTTCAATTAAGCAATTAAATGTACAACCATCTCCATCATTTTGATTTCCATCATCACATTATTCTAAATTTGAGAGAATACCATCTCCACAAATACTAGTACACATATTATTAATTAATATAAATCCAGGATTGCAAATTTAACATTATCCACTTTAACAATTATTACAATTTATAGGGCAAGAATATTAACATTAATAACATCCATCATTATCTTCACATTCTTCATTTCCTGCTATGATTTAATCTCCACAAATTGTTGTACATTTATTATTAATAAAATAATAACCATATTAACAAGAATCAATACATTTACCATATTAACATTCTTAACAATCTAAAGAACATGAAAATTGGCAATTATAACATCCATCAAATTCTATTTCATTTCCATCATCACATTCTTCATCTTCTTAAATTATTAAATCTCCACATTTATTACTTATACATGTATTATTTATTAAAAAGTAAGGTTTAGCACATTAATAACAAAATCCAAATCTACAATCAGAGCAATAAGGATTACAAATACATTCATCAAATTAATACATAGCTAAAATATTATTTCTACAAATCTCTAAACATTATCCTAACACCAATTACTATCCATATTAACATTTATAACAAACACTATCAACACAAATTTCACATTAAGATTAACATAAACTAACCATTTCATATTTAATACATTAATTATTATTCTGTAAAATATAATCTTATTAACATAATAAACAAATTCCAAATTCACATTGATTACAATAATTTGGACAATTAAATTAACATTGATTACAATTCAATAATCCATCACATTCCTCATTAATTGTTATTAAATTATCTCCACAAATAGATTAACAAATATTGTATTCTAAATTTAAATGGTATCCATTTGAACATAAAATACAAATATCATTTACACAATCTAAACAACCTTCAATATAACAAAACGGTTAGATAAATATATCTATAAGTTTAATAAATTCCACCTCAAAAACTCTTTAACAAGTAGAGGTATATCTTAAATATTACCATCCAGAGTAACATCCTAAACAAGTACCTTAATGACATAATGAACACCCATCTATACAAGAATACAAACAGTTAAAACACCCATCAAATGGATCCATATTACCATCATCACATTCTTCGTATTCTTGTACTATTGTATCTCCACATATTGATTATTCTATTATATATTATAAATATACAAACAAATATCTAGATATCTCTTACTCCAAATGATTCAATATTATGATTTTAATCAAGTGTATTTGATATTATAATTTATGTACTTGTAAATAAATGTGGAAAAGTTAACTCAACATTTACAAAAATATCTTTTTAAGATCCTCCACATACTCCATATAAATATTGATCTAATTCTGATAAGCTTTATTTCCATTTAATATTCTAATTAATCTATAAAATAGAATAATCATTATTATCCCAACCATCTATCTTGAGATATTTCAATTTTATCTTCATTCTTGTATGAAATGGTAGAGAAACTAAAGTCAAAATCAATTTAGTATTTTTACCACAAACTCCATAACCACAAATAGATGGTATCACTATTTTTAATTTAATTCTTTACTTGAACATTATTATTTTGTTAAATCTCCATTTAAAATATTCCACCCATCTGTCGTAAATACATTGTCAATATAGAATGAGGCAACAATGATCCAGGTTTGACATTCTACTTATGAATTAGATTAAGAGCATGTAAGACAACCAGTTGGACATAAATAAAGGAAAAGTCTGAAATTCCTATATCCCCACGATTCCTAATTTAAAAATTTATGATACATCAAAAGCATCCTAATCCAAAGTGCTTGTTAATTCAATGAATGTTGTTGATCCAGTGTGTTAAAATTCAAAAGAAATTTCATGAATTGAGTCTTATCTATGATTTCCTATTTAACCACATATATAAGCTTATCCTTCATAAAAATTGTATGTTTAATGGAATTCTAAATTTTCATCTACATACACATGATAATATTCATTAGGATCCCATGTATCAATTCTAATATTAATATCAAATTATTACATAAATAGAGTAAATGAAATTTTCATTTTGTAATGAGGATCTAATAATAAAAATTTAGTAGCAGCTATTCCAACTCCAAATTTTTAAAATCCACCTACAATACTATCAGGACCACAAAATTAAAAAACATTAAGAGGATCAGTTCCTATAAATGACCAATCTAATCAATATAAATTTAATACTGTCTATGTCTGTTAATGTTGTATCAGTGAATGCAGAATAAAAAAGTATTTGCTAGTAACTAATTTTGAATAAAATGGTAGTAAACCAAAACATGTGATCTAACAGAAAAGATTGTTGAAAATTTAAATTATTTAGATAAAAGGTTTTATCATTACAATTTAAATATTCAATTTAATTGAAATTCCTAAAAAATAAATAATATATCAAATAATCATTTACAAGTTTATGACTACACTGGTAATTTCAGTAATAATAATTTATAAATATATGAACTCTAAGGAATAATTGATACATTTCTAATTTAATTAATCTCACATCTGATTCTTATCTATATAACATTATAAGATAAAATTATAACAATTTTATTTGGAAATAAATTTAATTCTATCATAGCACTTCTATTTTTAATTATTCATAAATATTTGATTAGATTCAAAATATATCTATTAAATTATAGTTTTAATTATTATCAAATAAATTAGATAGATATTATAAATATAATATTAAAGTAAACAATCAAGTTATTACATTTTGATAATATTATTGAAATATTAATAATTATAATCATTAACTAAACTATATTATTTTTATTCCAAACTAGAATATAGAATTTTATATATTTAATAAATATAATAAAATGGGAAATTTTTGTTTTTAAGAAAGTTAAGAAACTTGTGAATGGAAACAAGAAATAATACAATTATGTAAGAATTATATATCATTTTCTTGGGCATAGACTATATAATCTTAAATTACAATTCTTGAAGCTATTAGAGAGATTCATCTAAGAGACATTTATTTAATGAATGCATCATTTTAGACAATCAAAATTGAAAGTTAAGTAGAGGATGCAACTATTAATTAAAAGAACCTAAAAAAATTCTATAGAAGAACTGGACTATCTGAATAACAACTTGAATAGAATGATATTTCATTTTCAGGTAGTCTTCTATCAGATACTTAATCTTATATATATCATGAAAAAGCATGTCAAATAAGTGAGTTATCTAAAAGAAGTATGGAATACTTTGCACATTTTACAGACATAATAAAATATCAAATAAAAACAAATGAGATTAGTCATTTTATTAAGGTTTTCAAAGAATCCTTTTAAACAGATGAAACTTATATGGATTCTTTTAAATCATTTGTTGATTTTCTTTATCAAAGTGTTATATCATATTATAAAATTTTGAATTTCAAACAAGAAATACCTAAATATTCTAGTTTAATTAATAAGGATACTTTAATAAATTTTATTACAAATTGTCTTTTATAAGATAAGGAATTATATGAAAAACTATTCAATAAAATATCAGAAGAATTATAGGATAAATGTTATCAAACAAAAAAAATGATGATTGAAAATTAGAATCTATCTACACGTGAAATGGGAATTTCTAGAGAATTTCAATTTATAGAAGAACATTAACCATATTTATAAGCTATCAGAATATTATAAAAAGTTTAATAAAAATAAGGACCTGCTAGTAAAGCAAAAGTTATTTTAAAAATGTCTTAAGTGATTACATTATGCATGTCAAAAGGCAGAGGCAAAAGTCTATTATTAGCTACAGATGACATGCTACCAGTCTTAAGATATGTTATTATCAAATCTTAAATCTACGATATTCATGTTCATATATTTATTTTATAGAATTTATTAACCCAAAATGTTCTTTCGAGTAACTTAGGGTTTTTTATCACAAGTTTATAAGCTAGTATAGAATAATGATTATCAATTTTTGTGATTATAATATATTTATATAAATAGAGTTTAAGTATTATCAATAACAAAAATAATCTATTTAAAGTAGAGGATTTAAAAAATATGATGATTAAATTGTTTCTTTTTAATACACATAAATGATTGTATTATATATATATAATATAAAAATTATAAATATGATAATATTTTACTTAATAACTTAATTAGATAAATAATTACTTTTGAAATTAATATATTTGTGTATATAATAATATATATTTTAGTTACATAAATGAATATATGATATTTTAATAATATTTATAGTTAAATTCATATTTATTTTATCAATTGATATAGCACATTTTGATATGAAAAAATGCATGTGGTATTTTAATCTAAAGTCTAAAATTATTATATAATAGGGCATTTAATTTTGAGTAGAAATTGTCTAAATACTAAAATGATCATTTCATTTAAGTAGATAACTCCAACACAAATAAACTTCTCTTCATATCTAGTTCTAATTGTACTTTCAATATTTTCTCCTATGTCCAAACCTGGAAAATAATATTTTAATACATTACATTTCCTAGACTGAAACTTAAGCCGCTAAACCTTGCATGATTCGTAATACTAGATAACATATATTATTGATTGTCACTGCTCCAACAAAATAATTAATAGATTGCCTTAATTAAATTAAAGAATACTATAATTATTTGTGAATTTCTAAATACATTGAATTTTCATCTCCTTAAATCTCAATTACCTTATAATTAAAGGAAAATAAGCTTGGTTTTTTAAGAATGACACATTTATGATTCATTTAAGTAATTTACAATATCTCCCAATTTTTGATATTCTCTACTTCTTTTACATCTTCTATTTCATCCATTAAATTGTTGATTTCAGAACTCTGAGAGAGTTGATGATAAACTTAGACATTTTCTTTCTTATTATTATGGTTGTTCTTTCTAAATAGACACCCTCCCATTTTTATATTTATTATATTAATAAAGAGAAACAATGAAAATTTTGGATGATCTAAAATAATAAGTGGAAAAGGAAATGTTAAAATTCGATCCACGTTTAGCTTAAAAGAAATATTTAAAGATGACAGAATCTATAAAGGATTTGTTTTTAAAAGCTGTTGTTTCAGAGAAATAATCTATCAAATCTGTATTATTATAAATATATTTAATATATTAGGCTGCTAATTCTATAGGTATAAATTATTCTTCAGCCAAAGCAATTTGGGCAGAATTCAGAAGAAGAAAATAAAAAAAGAAGAAAAATAATAAAGAAGAATCAAATTAGAAAATAGAAAATCCTTTAGTTAAACGATGTTCATATAAAATATTAAATGGTTGTAATAAAATTAAGAAATTATTTATGGAAATCAAATCTTCTGTCTCTTAAAATTTGAATTCAACTCACTTTTGTAAATTGGACTCTCACATTTGAATAACAAATTCTATAAATTATTATTTAAAATGTAAAATAAATAAAATTCTTGTGCAGTGTGTTCACTTAAAACAACATTTGGTTGTTCTTAATGTAAATCAGTATTTTATTGTTCTGTTGAACATCAACGTTAACATTGGACTATTCATTAATCATCTTGTCAATCTCTTAAAAATTAAGATAATAAATAAATAGATGATACTATTAGTAAGAGTCCTGCATCAAAACCATAGAAATTTGAAATCTAATAAACAGCCTAACCTAAATCAGATAAGAAATTGATTATGAATGAAAGAGACATATTAATTGAAGATCATGATCGTTACAGATAAATTTCTATAAGATTGCTATCTTAAAAAGATTATTAGGATGCAATCTAATAAATTAAGAAAACAATAGAATTTGCATCAAAATTAGAATTGATTGGTGGTAAAGAAGACACCTATGAAAAAATTGCAGATTAAATGTTATTGGTTAGAGGTATATATTATAAATATATAATAATAGCATAAATCAAATTACTTGATTTGGAAACAGCCAGAAAAACACTAATTTAAATATTTGAATAGGTTAAATTATTGACATAAACATCATTAAAAAATGATTAAGTTAAAGTTTCAAATATACTCAAAGTAATGGCATAATTATTTTATGAAACTGGAGATTAAAGATAATGTGAATTAGCTTATGTTGAATATACATTAATGATTGAAAAATGTTATGGAGAAGATGTATTAAATTATTATAATTATATTAGAGTAATTCAACAGGTAATGCTTATTTTTTGGTAGGAACATTCTATTTGTAACATAAACATTACACATAAGCTTTAGCTTGTTTTAAAAGAGCTTTAAATATTCGTTCTAATATTAATCCAAATTTAGAGAGTGTAAGTGATTGTTGGTATAATATGGGTGTAATTTACAAATAATAAAATAAGAAGGATCAAGCAATTGATTTTTTAGAAAAAGCATTAAAATTAAGAAGATAGATAATTGGTTAGAATTCCTTATAGGCAGCTGTTTGTTTAGAAACTCTAGGGAAATTACATATATAATATAATGAATATCAAAATGCTTATAGTAGATTGTAGGAATGTTTCAATATAAGAAAGTAACTTTTGAAAAATCCATAACATTAAGATATTGAAAGGGTGTCTAAACTCATTTAGATATTATATTAAAAACTATAGGATCAAAATTATAACAAATAAAATTCAACTCTTTAAGCAACTATTTTAGAGAATAATTTTAATAGGGTTTTAGAAATGGAAGAATCAGAAAAATAAGAAAAAAGTAATTCATCTCCTTCAAGAAAGAGATCTTAACTTAAAACTGATTAAAAATTATCTTAATTATTGAATATATCTAGTAATCTTTTAGAATCTTTTAGTATTGATTAATTAATTTAATTGAAATTATTACAATAAGAATTAGTGAAATATAAAAATAGATAAGAATAACAATAAATAATTATTGATAGTTAATTCATGAATACTTTATCATCAATTTAATATAATTTGTTAAGAGAATAAAATCCATAAGTGTTTTAATTATTATAAATTAATAAACCAGATGAATAATAAAGTGAATATGAAAGTGAAAGTAAACCATCAATTGATTAAAAAATGTATGCTTCAAATCAAGGTAAAATATAATTGAGATGATTATATATTTAATAGAGCATTTATAAAAGATTGTCCAACGCCTAGGAAGCTTTCGGAAATTATTAAACTGAAGTTTATAATAATCAAACTGTATTTATATTTATATAATGTTTAAGGATGTAAAAGAAAGAAGTGATTCAAGAAAGAAGACCTTTACTTTTTATTTAACTAAATAATGATTATTGTTAGTTATAAATTATTTATATTACAATGAGTTTATAACCTAGATTAAGTCCAAAGAATTATAAAAAGTATAGCATATTCAATGATTCAATAAATATAAGGACATCTCGTAATACAAGCTTTGATTATGAATTTTAAAAGAGAAGAAATTCTAATATAAGGTTCAAAAATTCAGGCAGTGTTTTGAGAGGTTCTAAAGCTAGTGATTTTATGGGTAATCTTATAGCACATTTTTAATATGTATGTATTTATATTCACTATAATAATTATAGGGTTAAAATGCATTTAGAGAAAAGAATTTAATTGAAGCTATTAAATACTATAACGAATGTATATTAATAGATTCTCTACATATACCAAGTAGATATATGTTGGGAGTGTGTCATTTCTCTTAAAATTAATATGAAAAATGTATTAAAGAACTCAAGTTTGTTAAAGAACAATAGCCAAATTACAATAAGAATGTATATATAATACTTGCACTTGGTTATAAAAAATTAATGTAATTGGATTGGTCAATTAGAACTGTATTAATTTTATAGTAATAATAGTTAGATGAATGTTTGCAGTTTTATCCTTAATGTTATGATGCATTGATATTCAAAGGTAAATTGGAACTTAAATTAAGGAGATTCTAAGATTGTGAATCAACATTTAAATCAGCAATAAAAATTAATTCAAAAAGATCAACAGGATATCATTATCTAGGAGATTGTTAAAGACTTTAAAATAATTTGGATTAAGCAATTAAAAATTATTAAATAGCATTACAATTTGATACAAGTGACAAATCTAAATTGAATATATTAAAAATGTCTATTTGTCTTTATGAAATGGCAAATTATAATTAGGCTTTATAAATGATTGATTAGGTATTAATATATATTAATTAGTATTTAAGTCAAGATGAATAATCATCTGAAGCAAATAAATTGAAGGGACAAATATTATACAAATTAGGAGAGAAATAAGAAAGTTAATTATATTATGAATAAGCTATTTAAAATAATAATTCAAGAAATGCTGTATCAAAAGCTATGATAGAAATTAGTAAATTTAAAATAGAATCTAAAGACTTTTATTCTTTATATCATACTCTTTTAAGAGTTGAATTTTTGGATGTTGATAAATAATAATTATAACCCTATATTTAATTCTCTGAGGCTGTTGTTTGTTTAATGAAAAAGAATTATATTTAAGCAGATGAAGCATTTAAAAATTTACAATAATTAGATATTCCAATTGTTATTTAAGAGATATATCATTCATATATTGGATATTTGAATATGATGCTTAATAATTTTGAATAGGCTTTAAAAGATTTTAGAAAGAATAAATCATTACCATATAATTAAATTATATGTGAAGGAATTATTAATTTTAATTCATTTGAAATTGCATATTCTAAATTTGATTAAGCTTTAAGTTATAATTAGATTGATCCAAATATGTATAAAGCAATATTATTAATAAAAGAAGGATTAAAATAAGAGAATTCTGATTATGTTAATAATTCATTATAATGTTTAATTAGAGCATAATAATATAATCAAAATAATTCATAATTGATGTATTTAAAATCATTAGCTTATATGTTAATGGATAATGTTGAAGATGCCTATAAAGAAATATTAACAACAATAGAAAAAGCAGATGAAAATTTAGCTGATCATTATTATTTGAAAGGATTGATTTTAGCATTAAATGGTGATATCTTAAATGCAGTCTAAGATTTTTCAGTCTGTTTAGGAATTGATGATTAATATTAAAAAGCTTATTTATAAAGATCAAAATGTTATTCATATTTAGGAGAAATGTAATCAGCTTTTGATGATATGAATAGTTATATATAATTTGTAGATGACTTTTTAAGTGCTGGTAATCTATTATATAATAGTAAAATGTATGAAGAAGCATATAAAACATATAAATAAGAACCTAATTTAACTATTGAACATAAATAATAAATATCAATATGTTTATTTTAATTAGAATAATTTGATGGTGAAGAATTTAAGGAATTTATTAGAGATAAACCATTTGATTAAAATATGATTCTGGCTTATTAACAAATACTTAAATATGAATATGATTCAGCTATATTAACATTATAAAAAAAAGTTGATTCACAATCTTCTTTTTTCTTTAATAAATAATATCTACATTAATATAAGGGCATTTGTTATTTATATTTATAGAAATATTAAGAAGCAATCTAAGAATTTGAAAGATGTATTTAATAAACTAAATCAGACACTCTTATTTATATAACAAATTACAATATTATGTTTTGTTGGATGATGTTAAAGAAATTTAAATATTCTCATACTTAATTAGAATAATTAATTAAAATTTCAGAATAAAAACATGTATTATTAACTATTAGAAATCTATTAATTGATTAAACTGAATTTACTTTATCAGATAATCCATAAGGAATAGAAATTATGTTAGCAGATACAATTAAATTATAACCATTTATATCAACATAATATACTATTTATCCATATTTCTCACTTCCAATTGCAAAACCAAAAGATATTACTCCTTAATTTGATTTCAAAATAATTGAATCTTTAAATGTAATTAATATATTATGATATTGATTTAGCCATAATCAATTGAATGTAGACCTGAAGCTCCATGGATTAGAAGAAATGAGAATGGTGTTTTATTCACAGATAATTTGTAATAATGTGAATTAAGTTAAACAGAGAATAGTTCTCCTGAAAACTGAATTTATTATAATATTACTATATTATTATATAAAAAATTATTTTATATATATAATTTCATTAATTTTAAGATAATCTTTAAAATATTATAATTTCTTTTTTAATCATAATGCTACTTATATATTTGTTATTAAAACATAAAATTTATTAAATTTTTATACTTGTATGACTTAATTGTATAAAATCATATTTAATAGATTATTTATAACATTCAAGTGTTAATTAATATTACCATAAATTTCCGATGATATAATATTAAGTAAATAGTAGGATAAGTTAATTTGTAGTAAGATTTACTATATTATAAGTTATATAATTAATTGTTATAAAAAGCAGAATATAAGATTAATATGTCAATAAAATGACGAATTATCATTATAAATATGAAATTTAAGAAAAATGAAAGGATTTAGTTA